TTATCAAATGGTTAAGACAATGCTAGAGGTCTTTGTAAGCTGTTTGTCTCCTGCACTCACTCCAGTAAAGATGGCCTGGCTTTGACCACACATCCAGACTCTGTCATGTTTGCCTGGGGGAACAGTAAGTGCTGGGTTGGCCACCAGGCATCCCTGCCCCCCAGTCTCACCCTGTGGCATCTAGACAGCCCTGGAGCCTGTTGGAAGCAGCCAGCCATCTGTTCCCCAGTGTCAGCCTGGCTATGTTGCAGCTCAGTTAAATCCATTTGGTCTCCAAGAACTATTCTACACATAGAAAATATCCCGAATCGTCAAGGGGTGGGTGGACATTAGCACTCACTGCCATGTCCTGTTTATCTTTCATGTTTGTGGCGAGATTCATTTTGTCCATGTCACATACACACTGCACTGAGCCCAAGACAGCAAGAGACAGCTGTACTTTAGTTGAGATAGCCATCTGTTACAGCACACAAGTGACCCCTTCCCACTAGTCAGTCATCTTTCCAATCGTAACTGAGCCAGGAAGCCCAAAGAAGTCCCAAACAGTTGTTCAAACCCACAGTAAAAAATGTCCTCTTCCTCTCCTTTGCCTTGAGAGCCAGCTCCTAGCTAAGCAGATTCTTGGTGTCAAATTAAGTTAATTTTTTGCACTGGTTTTGCTTGCTGGCTATAATGGGGCTCTTATTAGCAGGTTTTGAAAGCTGCTTGAGTCCTGTGGCTAAAAATATTCTAATCACAGCTGCAGCTACTTAATATCAATTCACTTCGAGTTCCTAGTCAGCTCCCATGGGTGCCTTGTTCTAGCCTTTATCTCAGTTTTAAGCTGATTTTGTGTCTGAGTGGCACCAGCCGGGAAAGTGATTTTCAGAGCCCTGTGCCAGCTGGAGGGCTACAGCCCACCCCCAGCCACCTGTCCATCAAAGCACCACTCAGCTGTGGATGAGTCTGATGGTGACTGGAATGAGGTACTACATTTAGGCAAGAATAGCCCAAAGTGCTGTCCTAGTTAGTTCTGGAATTGATGGTGTCAATGTCTCACTACAGATGGCTGTCCCTTCTCCGGGGTGATGGTTCCTGCTAGGCTTCACTGTAAAGTGCTGTCTTCCTTTTTGTAACTGGTAAGTAGTTGGAGGTAACTTGACTAGGTTTCCCCAATTTTTACCTACCTTACATCTTGTCCTCAGCGGGTTTTTAGCATAGTCGTTGCTTGTTTCCTTCTTTGCCTACATTCCTACATTTGTCAGTGGGGAATTAAACTCTGAGGTGTGACTGACACTCCCACACACGCACACATACACTCACTTGGTTGCATCTTAGGGATCGACAGCAATGTACTTTAGTCTGTGGGTTATAATCTATCGTGTCGCTCCACAAACTGTTGTAGTTTGGGCCTTTAGGAGCACCCTCGGGTCAACACAACAGTTCTCCAGCACTTCCTGTCCAGGCTTCAGCACACCCTTGATACTCGCACCACAAAATGTTCCATACTTGTGTTTTCCCTCTCCTTAACCTGGACCAGGTGCTTCCTCAAGGATTCCTGGTTTGAATTATTACAGAATGACATTCTGAAACCAAAACCTAGGCTGTAGTTGTGCTCATTGTTACTGGGATGTTAACAATTGAGCTCTGCACACTGGAAGCTGTGGGGATGCTCCCTCACTCTTAGAGGTGCCTAATTGAGTCCACTTGGCTGCAGCCTTGTATTCAGCTCGTCTCTCTTCACTTGTAGCTTGTTTGCATCACTTCTGGGAAGAACCCCAGTTCCTCTTACCTATGATCCTCTGACGTACTCCATCCTAGTACATACAGAAACTAGTTGCAGATTTGCCATCCCATCCCTTCCTGGGGAATGCACATTACTGGCTACTTTAAAGTACGTGAGAGAGTGAGGACGGGGCTTCTTTGCCTTAACTTTACATTATCTAGTCACGATCATACTTAACAGTTTGTTCCTGTCTGCTTTGTGTATGGTTCTTTGTTACACAGTTGGGCTCTCCTGTAGGTGTTTTGGGGTTATTTTGTGTGCCCTTCTTCCATCATAAATGGCTTCATGTATGTATTTGTGTTTCGGATTTATGAATGGCATCCTAACCTTTTGGGGGGCAGGCAGTTTTGGGGATTGAACCCAGACCTTGTACATACTAGGCAAGGCAAGCACTCTACCACTGAGCTATAGCCCCAGACCCCCATCGCTCCTTCTTTAGGAGCTGTCCAAAATAATCTCAGAAAAATGTCACTTAGTACCATCTAGTAGCTGGCTGCTTTACTTCTCTGATCTTTCAGCATTTATCCCTATATCTGACTCAGGATTTTTATTATTAAAATCAATTAGAATTTGTGATACAATAGAAGAATAATCAGGAAAATTTAAGGATGACGGCAATTTTCCAAGTCAAATGGAACTATATGAACTCACAGACCTAAGAACAAAAGAATTAGGAATAACAGACATAGTAAGTAAGGAAACTTTATTCAATGGTATTGGCTCCTCATGCCACCATGAGTCACTTCTGCTCTCCCTGAAATAATGCCAAGCCCTGAAATGTAGAGCTCAGGTTGTTGCATGTCTGGCCCCAAACCATTCCTGACACATTTCCTCAAGATTCCATTTACACTACCTGCATACCAGGTCACTGGCTACTCAGTTTCTTGTGTGCACAGTTCCCTTGTTCCACCCTCTAGTCCTTTGTTCATTCCTTTAAAAACACCTGTCCACTGTGGCATTGACTTCCATTGCCCTTTTGAGTGTAGCTAAGGAAATGTCAGCTCATCTAGAGAACCTACTATGGCTCTCCCAGTTAGCACGTGACCATCTGCCTCTCTGGGGCCCAGAGCCTTTATCACATCCCCTCCCAGCTTGTCAGCCCCTTGAGGGCAGGGGTCCGGGGCCCTGGTTATCATCACCTCTTTTGTTCTGAAAGGTTAATGAACTAAAGCATGTGTGCTTGGATGGATGAATGGGTAGAGTACAGATAAAAAGTAGCATGTGTTCTGATTCAGGGCAATGAAACAGCATCTTAAAATAACCAATTGCAGCCACATGTGAAGGTGGCAGCATTTAGAGATGGGGACAGGCCTAGACTCCATAACAAATTATAGGCCAGCGTTACCGCAAAAACTAATTAATGCTTTCCGAAGAGCTGAGGAAGTCTTCCCTGGGCCAAATAAAGCCTGGAGAGGTGTTAAGAGGTACTGCTGTCACCAATGCCATTGGTGGGGCAGTCTCTGGAACCTTCTGCCACTTTGAGCAGGGGTAGGAAGGGGCACAGGTTGATGATGCCATCATTGTGCTGTTCCAGGGGCAGTGAGGCAGCGGGGCGGGGCTAGCCTCACCTGTCCTCAGCAGCTGCACCAAGCTTTGCAGGCCTATTCGCTCTTTCCCCACCCAGATGCCCCTGCTCAGCCTGGTGAGCAGCCGTCCCTTCTCCCTGGGAGTGAGCATGGACAAACCCTGTCCCACCACGCTGAGCACTAGGAGGGATGTTCTTTCCAGCACAAGCGAGGCTGACTCTTAGACGAGGGAGAAGTCTGGGTCTCTGGCTTAGATACTACATCCAGTGAGTTTTACACCAGCAAATAAGAAGGGGAAGGGAACTAGGGCAGGGGATGTGGCCAAGTGGTAGAACACTTGTCTAGCATGTGCAAAACCTTTTCTTTGACTTCTGGGCACTGCAAAAAACAAAAATAAAATGAAAGTTAAAAGCAACAAATTAGGATCCAGCTAGGAGCATACCTCACTGGTAGAACCGATGCCAGGGTTAGGGGTCAATCCCCAGCACTCTTCCTCCCCACAAAGGGAAAAAAGAAGGTGGGCACTTCAGTGCCAGCCACAGTTCTTGGACCCTGCAATGGATGACTCTTACCAGCACTGGCCAGTGTTCTTGTGGACCAAATTGTCTAATTCTCTCCACCACACTTCTCCTGAAGCCTTGCCTTGAGAGGCCACAACCACTGGTGCTTTCAGAGACACCTAGTTGCACCAGGGTCTGGACACCATGCAGGTCATCAGTGCCTCCATCATCCCCAACAGGAGCAGGCTGGTGGGTACCAGGGCAGAAAGGCTACAGAACAGGAAGAGCACAAATACTGAGGCTGCCAGCTGGCCCCATTTGTCAGCTGTAGGCTCTTAGATTTCTACCTGTAAAGTGGTGACAGCCAAGGCCTACTCCTGAGGGGACTGCACAAGATGCACAGCATCCAGTGAACAAGGAACTTGATGGGTTATACTTTAGTACGTTTGGTGACTTTAAGCTTTCTCTACCAGGTTAAGTAGGGCCCCAGGGCCTGGCCCTGTCTATCCCACAGGACTGTCAAATAAACCCACAGTGTTAATTCCCCCTAGTCTTTGTCTCCTGCCTTTCAGGCAAGCAGTGCCTAACCCAGCCTGGAGCCTTGTCTGCCTGGTGTAAAGTCAGCATGTTCAATACTAAGAATTCCTTAGTGTTTAACATGAAGCACTATGGCCAACCAAAATGAGTTATTTCTTTAAAATATCCACTTTCTTGGGGACTGGAGAGACGGCTCGCTGTTCAGTGTGTTTAGTACTCTCACTGAGAACCCCAATGTAGTTCCCAGCACCCACTGCCCATAACTCTAGCTCTAATGGGTCCTACACTCTCGCCTGAACTCCAAGTGTTCCTGCATTCACATGCACAAACCCAGAGACACAAATGCACAGAACTTAAAAATGTAAAAGTTCTTTTCAAAAGCACGCCAGTCACCAAAATGCAATAGGTTAGCAGAAAATGAACTCCATGCCATGTCTTCCACAGACCTCACTCAACTAGAAAGCACATTATGGAGGCCAGTGGGCCAGAGTGAACTGGTTACCACTTGGTCTGTCTGTCCTTCTCTGGCCACATAAGCCTGTGTGCAGCAAGAGCCCAGGACAACTAGCCCAGGCCCAGCAGGAGGCCGGGGCCACAGTCATCTTTCTTCAAACCTGTCCCTCAGATTTTAACTCTGTTACTAATTTCCACGGGTGAAAAGAGGGAGTCGTGTTTCCTTCACAGAAGAAATATTTTATTCCACTTGAGAAAAATACAGAAAATACAAGTTAAAACTGTAACTCGTCTAAAAACTCAGTGACATACTGATACTATTGCAGAGCACCTTGGTCTACTCAGACACAGAACGCATCTCTGAGCCAAGCCCACCCTAACTCTTAGCAGGCAGGGTCACTGTGACAGTCATCTGACACCATCCAACCCCAGGGCCACTGACATTGCGGATCCCTTGTCATGTTCTACTTCGGAGCCTACACAGGACTGTGCACAGGCAGTCATAGACAGTCCCCAACACTTGAGACAGAATACAGAAAAAAAATGCGACATTGTTTGTCTGGCAAAAGTGGTTCTTCCCTGGGACTCTGAGCCCTGCCTGCTGAAGTTACTGGTGACAACATTTAAGAGAAACTTCACAGCCACAATGGTCATGAGCATCCAGATAGAAATCACTTAACATGATCAATATTGTATCAACATCCATGGGTTTATTTAATTCTGAAGGTGATTTAAATTTGCTGTCTGCACCCTGGGCAGATTGTTTTCCTGACTGAACAGCTAGCTGGCTCAAGGACTCTGCTCCTCTGATCGGATTTCCAGGCCTAAGTGTCAAGTGGCCCGAGCATCCACCACGCTCACCACTGGAGCAATGTGCTTGCTTTCTGTTTACCCTGAAGCTGAGACCCCAGCCACCTCGGTCCCTTTCTGCTGTGACAAGGCAAGCTGACTTACCCCTTCCAGCACACTGATGGCCACCGCCTCCAGGGAGTGCCTCAGAAAACCTTGGGCGTCTTGCACCCTCTGGTGTCTGGTGCTGCCTTTTATAGCCTTTCACAGCCAATGTCTCCCTGTTGGGTTCGGATGTCCCCCAAAGGCAAGTATCCTAAAAGCTTGGTCCTCACCTTGGCATTGGGAAGGAGTGGAAACATTAAGAGATGGGGTCTAGTGGGAGGAAGTTAGGTTACTGCAGGCATGGCCTTGAAGGTGACACTGGGACCCAACAACCTCCTTGTCTCTCTCTCTCTTTCTGGTCTTATGAGCAATTTGTTCCACCACACACTCTCCTCCATGATGTGTCCTTACCATAAGGCACCCCCAAATCAGGCCATGGATTGAGACCTTGAGCCAAGATGAACCTTTCCTACTTAAGATTATTTTGTACAGTAACAGAAAGCTCACCGGCATCATGTCTGGTTTTAACACTGAGACACAGAATCTGGAAGTTAAGAATATTATCCAAAAAAATAGTCACGGGTACAGCAGGAAAAATACTCTGCTTCAGGCACACATGGACAAGGTGGAGGGTGGGGTAGAGGCCTACAGTTCTTGCCAACACTGGTCTGACAGTGGATTGGCCTCAGAGGCGCATGTGTTAGAACCTCAATGTCAGATGTAGTCCCTTCAGACTACTTGCCAATAACAGCTGCTCCCAAGATGCCAACTGGGAGAATCCATCACCAGAGATGCTCCTACTGTGAATGTGAGAGGTGACCCAGTGTCTGGCTTAAGATATGCCCATGTGTAAGAACATAAAGCTCCAACCATGTGAGGGACCGAATGGCAGCTTAAATCAAAGGATGGCAGTTTAGATCTTTGTCACTTCTGATGTGACATTGCTTCAATGGGGTCAAGTGAAGAGGCAAACATGTCAAGCTGTCATAACTGCAATTCATCACTCTAAAACTCAATGACTTACTGCATAGCACCTTGATTTACCCAGACACAGGACATGTGAGCTCACCCCCACCCTTAGAGGACAGGGATACACTGACATTTGACCCCATCTAACAGTGGAGCACCAATACTGCCGATACCTTGTCGTGCTCTACTTAGGAGCCCACAGAGTAGCTGCACAGGACCTCACAGCCAGTCCCTACATGTCTTCAAGAAACAGCCACTAATTTCATGCAAATGTCTCTCTCGCTGCAATGTTGATGTCTGGGCTCCTGCATCCTTGTGTTAGGCCAGGCCATTCCTCAGTCCATACAATCCAGATTGACATGACAACTTCTTTAATGTCCATACATCTCAGGAAGCTAAATGCAACACTCCCAGCAAACAGCCAGTGACAGCTACATACATCAAGAGCCAATTGCCAAAGCATTGCCAATTCTAGAATAAATGAGCTTAGGCCCCTACCTGGGTGGTTGAGCTGACCTGGCTGTCTGAAGGGGGGAGGGTGTGCACTGGAATTGCCAAATTGGGGGCTTGTCCTGGAATTGGGCTCAGTGTCATTGAGCCATTGGGGACAACAGTTGCATTCAAGCTACTTGAGGCTTCCCCGGTGGCTTGGATTTTAAAGTAGACGAGATAAAACACCGGCAACACAATCCCAATGAGAAGCATGAGGAAGACAGCATTCCACCACTGAATCCCGCAGTCTGCACCATCGGCTGGTGGCTTCTGGGTTGTGGGGAGCAGTGGCTGATCTACGGCCTCCACACAGCAGCTGTCACTGTGGAAGACGTCAGACTGCACAGCCCGCTCAATGTTCTCATCAATTCCCTTAAAGAAATCCATCAGTTGGTTACTCTGAGCAGGTGCCCCAGTGGCATCTTCATCTTCAGGCAGTTCTACCAGGGTCACTCTGGTCTCAGAGGATGGGCCCCCCAGGGGGGTCAGTTCTTGGTGGGTCTCTGTGAGGATCCCATGTTTTCTCACCGGAATCTTGATCGATTTCAAAGCATACAGGTCTTGTTCTCTGAGGAAGTTGTTCACTTTCTTGATATCTGCGACCTAGGGAAGCCATGCATTATAAATACACAATGTTCCTTAAAACCAGTACCCAACCCCAGCAGAACCCCTCAGCCTGCTGCCATCCCATCGAAGAAGCCCGTGAAGACCAGAATCTGCACCCACAGCCAGCTTTGTTTGGCTGAGTAACCTGAGCTTTGGATTTTTTTTTTTTTTTTTGTCTTTGGTTTTTAACCTCTTAATGAATAGCTTAGACATCAACTGTTATACTTGGAACAATTTCTGATCAATTTTGGAAAGTGTTGTGACTACAACAAAAGCTTCAGGTGAAATAGGACCAACACTGTCACCCCTTCTGTCAAGCGCTGAGGCAACAGTGCCCCCTCTTACACCAGAATCCAAATGAGCAAGTGGCCAGGCAAGCTCACCAAAGCCTGCACTGGCTCTGGGCACACATTCAGAGGCTCCACCACCCATGGTTCCCTCAGGACGCTGCCTCAGCACTTTCCCAGAAGTAGTGCAGGCACAGGGACTTATTCCCTGAATAGAAATGACTCAGTTGACCTTGGGAGGTCCTACTTCTCACTAGAAGCAGGTTAGGAAATCAGCAATCTACCTAGGAGTTCCAGGCTGAGACTTCCCCATTCCCAACTACAGTCAGGGGAACAAAGCTTCTAATGGAAAAAAGAAGGGACAAGAGGCCAAATTTTAAACTCCCTCTCAAGCTACTTTTGCAAACCTTATCTAGAAAGTAAGTATAAGCCACAGAGTTTAGTATTCAGGTCCATGGTGTGTGTGTGATTATTTTATTCAGCAACCACTTTTAGGGTCTCATTGACCAGGCTCGAGGGATGCTTTTAGTCATTGCCCTGCAACTTGACAGCTTTCACTGTTTGTGCGCTAGACGAACAGCACGTGTATTTGTCTCCAACTGGAACAATTGGAACCGGGCTGGAGACCATCATCTGAGAGGCCTACTCAGTCTAACTTTCAAGACTGTTTTCCAGCCCATGGTCCGTAGGTTATGCCTACAGAAGCAGTTGAGACGATCCAAACACAAGGCTGATGTAACATGAAGCTACTATGTGTCCCTAGAGACCAGCCCCTACTACGCTGGGAAAGACCCCCACACTCACACAATCCTTTTTGCTCATTTGGATCCTGTTAGATAAACAACAGACAATTTCTGGGAGGTAAAGACTTTTTTAATGGTGCAGCTGATACAGCCTTGGTGAAAGCTGCTGCCGGGTATGTAGCATGGGGTTAGCAGCTCGAAACAAGTCATTTTGATCCGGGGGAGGGGGGAAAGAGCGATTCCAGAAATGCTTTCCTACTTACTTTGCCACTGTTAATCACTCTGAGTGCTAAAAACATAATTAAAGAGAAAGATAAGGTTATACAGATGCACAGCAGAGGCTAGACCATGCAGTTCTAATAGAGAGAAGGAAAAACTCTACTGATCAGATTAGCTAATGTTAAGAAAAGGTCAGGATACGAGTAGCGAGAGGAGCAAGCATGCCAAGGAAACTTGGGTAAACTCCACCTGCCATCTCCAGCCCCTAAGATCTTAAATGCAATCTGCTCAAAATCCCACACAGTTTCATAGTGTCGCAGTGAAAGTCAGGACAAAGGAAAACACACCCTTAACGGAGGTTCCCAGCTAACTGACCAATCAGCTTACTTAGGGACTAAGCCGGCTTACTTTGCAGCCATATTGGAGAGCCAGCTTGTTGAGGCTGTCCTCCTGGGCCAGCTCCCGCTGCAGCAGAACCACGTTGCCTGCTCCCGGATGCTGTTGGATGCTGTTCTTCTGGCGCTCTTTGCCACGGGGTCGTAATACATGATGTGACTCTTCCTCGGAGGACTCCCCGGAGTCCCCGCTGCCATTCTTGAACATGTAAACGTGGCTGTTTGGAGTCCTACAGACAACAGCTGGGCCTTGGAAGGTCTTGGCTAACACTTCCTTCTGCCTCATTTTTTCTTAACTGGAAGCAACCAAACCTGGGGTTAATTCCACACAAATGCTATATTCCCCTCTGGCTACCTAAAGGGAACTGTCAACATGGCAAATAGTGAGCAAACACTAGCAGGACAGAATGACAACATCCTCACACTAGCCCACATGGAACTTAGGCAAAATAAAGTCTTGCTTTCCCTAAAAGGCAAAATAAAATCATGCTTTCCCTAATTATGTACTATGTACAAAAAAACAAAAGCGTCCCCACCCTCTTCCCTATCCATAGCTGCGCCTCCCTCACCCAGCCTACACACAGAAGGCACTTGTGTCTTGAGTACTGTTCTCAGCTCCCAGTCACTAAGAATCTCACATTCAGATTCTTTGTACAAAAACCGCGAAAGGCATTCCAAGGTGTCTTCAGGAAGGCCAAGGACAACTGAGAACAACCATGGCTCGCAAAGTCTCTTATTTTGACCCTGGCTGACTTGACCTGAGAGGCGAGCAATGGAAAAACGCCTGTCAAAGTTCAACTTGCCCCTTTCTCACGGTCACTCTGCCCTCATTACACCCCCATGCTCCCTTTTATCGTTACCTAGAGCCAAACATCAGAGCCACAACTAACCTCCTTTCCCCTTCCAAATGGCTCGAATGGGATTCTAGGCATTCCTGGAAGTGCCTTCCGAGAGGCCCTTTATGGGGGACAGCCAGCCTCAGTGCATCTCCCTCTGGTCTCGGATCTCTGAGCCCCTGACACCTCCGTTTCCCTTCAGTGACAGGTGAGGTGTCCCTAAGCAGAAGACAAAACAAATTAGAGGCGACCCCACCCCTGGGCCTATACGGGCGGGCTCCAACTTTCCATGGAGCGCACATCTTGCCACCCCCACAAGCCGGCACCAGTCCTCCGCGGACGCAGCCACGGCCACTGGCCCTAGAGTAGCAACCCACCCCCGAGCCCACGGTGACAATCGACCCCACAAGCCCCGGCCCCCCAAGTCAACTCCGCAGCCCCTGCTCCAGGTC